GTAATTTCATAATCCTTCACTCCTTTAATCTTTATTAACACTTTCAAAATGTACAAAGCTTGGGAAATTTGCCAAGAAAATGTTTAGGGAATTAAATGATAGGATATAATAGAAGGGGGTTTATAGGAAATCCCTCATCTTTCCCTTCCTTTTCCTACCTTTTCTTTCAAACCAAACACAATCCAAATTGCACACTTATCTATATTTCTATTTGATCTAGAGATCTGATGCATTAAATTGTATGCTAAATCTTAAATGGGCCACTAAGATCAAAATCGTGTGTTGTGAGAACTCTGAATCAAGATCGCAGTTAGATAGTCTTGCCAACTGGTGAAGTCGAGGTGGAAGGACGAAGCCGCGCACCAAAGATCAAGGTCTGAAATCAAGATAGAGGATCAAAGGCGTAAGGAGTTGTTCCCCGGGTAGGCACTCTAACTCTCAAGTCAATAATGAGAGAGATGGGTGGTTCGGCAGTTGAGAATAATACTAGTCTTAGCAAGAGAAGTAGAGTAACGGTATGAAAGTCTGAAGAGTCCAAAAGTCCCTTACCTTGAGCGGGGGTTACCTATTTATAGCCAAAGATCTGTGTCTAATTTGGATGAGGCTATCGGGGTTGTCGAGATGAGGTTACCCGCCGAGGTCTTCGGGATAAGTCCTCTTCCCTAGCAGAGGCCGCCACATGGCACACTGGGCCAACTCAACCATAACTCAAACAATTAACACTACCAAAATGTGCAAAGCTTGGGAAATCTTCCAAGAAAAAGTTTAGGGAATTAAATGACAGGATATAATAGAAGGGGGTTTATAGGAAATCCCTCATCTTTCCCTTCCTTTTCCTACCTTTTCTTTCAAACCAAACATAATCCAAATTGCACACTTGTCTACATTTCTATTTGATCTAGAGATCTGATACATTAAAATGTATGCCAACTCTTAAATGGGCCATAAAGATCAAAATCGTGTGTTGTGAGAACTCTGAATCAAGATTGCAGTTAGATAGTCTTGCCAAATAGTGAAGCCGAGGTGGAAGGATGAAGCCACACACCAAGATCAAGGTCTGAAATCAAGAAAGAGGATCAGAGGCCTGAGGAGTTGTGTCCCTGGGTAGGCACTCTGACGCTCAAATCAGTAATGAGAGAGATGGGTGGTCAGGCCGAGCAGTTGAGAATAATACTAGTCTGAGCAAGAGAAGTAGAGTAACGGTATGGAAGTCTAAAGAGTCCAAAAGTCCCTTAACTTGCGTGGAGGTTATCTATTTATAGCCGAAGATCCGTGTCCAATTCGGATGAGGCTGTCGGGGTTGTCGGGATGAGGTTACCCGCCGAGGTCTTTGGGATAAATCCTCTTCCCTAGTGGAGTTGTCTTCCTTATCCATATGGGACTCCTCTTCTTTATTGCGCTTATCCATCTTATGGAGGCTGCCACATGGCACACTGGGCCAACTCAATCATAACTCAAACAATTAACACTACCAAAATGTACAAAGCTTGGGAAATCTTCCAAAAAAAATTAGGGAATTAAATGACAGGATATAATAGAAGGGGGTTTACAGGAAATCCCTCATCTTTCCCTTCCTTTTCCTACCTTTTCTTTCAAACCTAACATAACCCAAATTGCACACTTGTCTACATTTCTATTTGATCTAGAGATCTGATACGTTAAAATGTATGCCAACTCTTAAATGGGCCATAAAGATAAAAAATCGTGTGTTGTGATAACTCTAAAGAGGATCAGAGGCCTGAGGAGTTGTGTCCCCGGGTAGGCACTCTGACGCTCAAGTCAGTAATGAGAGAGATGGGTGGTCAGGCCGAGCAGTTGAGAATAATACTGGTCTTAGCAAGAGAAGTAGAGTAACGGTATGGAAGTTTGAAGAGTCCAAAAGTCCCTTACCTTGAGTGGGGGTTATTTGTTTATAGTCAAAGATCCGTGTCCAATTCGGATGAGGCTGCCGGGGTTGTCGGGATGAGGTTACCCGCTGAGGTCTTCGGGATAAGTCCTCTTCCCTAGTGGAGTTGTCTTCCTTATCCGTATGGGACTCCTCTTCTTGGTTGTGCTTATTCATCTTATGGAGGCCGCCACATGGCACACAGGGCCAACTCAACCATAACTCAAACAATTAATACTACCAAAATGTACAAAGCTTGGGAAATCTTCCAATAAAAAATTTTAGGGAATTAAATGACAAGATATAATAAAAGGGGGTTTATAGGAAATCCCTCATCTTTCCCTTCCTTTTCCTACCTTTTCTTTCAAACCAAACATAATCCAAATTGCACACTTGTCTACATTTCTATTTGATCTAGAGATCTGATACATTAAAATGTATGCCAACTCTTAAATGGGCCACAGAGATCAAAATCGTGTGTTATGAGAAATTGTATGCAGTCATCTCGCTATGCATAGCGGTGGCAATTGGACAGGTTGGGTTGGGTTGGGTTTGGGTTGAGCTTCAACCCAACCCATCTAACTCGCCAACCCATTAATGACCCAATTATATAAAATTAAATGGGTTGGGTTCAATTCAAACCCGCTTTAACCCAATCCAACCTGCACCAACCCATTAATCTTATATTCATGTACTTAAAAAAAAAACCAACTCTCTTGACAAATAAGTTGGTATAGTCATAGTTTGGTGGTAATAGTAGTTGCTATTTATATAAGTGGTGAAGATTCAAATAACATTATATGCATGTTATTTTTACACAAGCGGCGAAGCCATTTAACTATGTTTGGGTTTTCGGTTTGACCGAACCACTTAGGTTCAAACCAGTCAGACCTACTTGAACAATCTAATTGGATTGCCTTTGAGCTAATCACATTAAGGGTGGCTGAACCATTTAAACCTACTTGAACAATCTAATTGGATTGCCTTCGATCTAATCACATTAAGGGTGGCTGAACCATTTAGATCTGGATCAGTTCAGTGGGACCAGACTGGACTGGTTTAGTTAATGGCAGATTGACTTGGACCGGCCCATATTAGGTTTGTGCACAGGTTTGGGACCAAACCGACTGGCACGAAACAGGTCAAAAGAAGTAATCCGGTGACCGGTCTAGGTTCGGGTTGGGTTGTGTGGTTACGAACGGACTGAATGATCCAAATTGGACAAAGAAAGTGGGGTGTTGAACCATCCTGCCCAGACCCATTTCAGATTCGAGCCGACCTGGATCAGCTTGTATCAGGTCGGGTCGGGTTTGGATCGGGTTGACCGACCCAAACGAACCGAACCGAGGTGATCGGGTTTGTTCATATTTAGACCAAGTTGAGCTAGTCCAGACTTGGGTCAAATTGATTTAGATTTATATCGATTTGGGTGAAGTGTATCGATTCGAGACAAAACTAATTTTAGTTAATAATTAATAGAAAATTAATGATTAATTATAACTTATTTCATTCAAATGAAGAAAACTAAAAAAATGGCTAAAGATTTAATACTTATATATAGTGATTAACCCAATGATTATCCCCAACCCAACCCATTTAAATTGACCCATTGAATAATTAACCCATTTCCAAAATTGCCACCCCTAACTATGCATTAGTAAACCTCCCTTTGACCCTTTTCTCCCCAAAATGGTAATTGTGGGATTCCATTTCGTGTCATCACTGAACAAACCAGCTAATAATACACCACCGAGAGAGAGAGAGGGTTACATTGGATAGAGAGAGCGAGAGAGAGGACAGTGAGTGTGAGTGTACTCCTCACTCACTCCGCGGCTCCATGTATAGGACCAAATCAGGGTCATTGCTTCATTGGTCGACAACTTTTCTTTGCACTCGAGAACCCTCTTTTTAGCATGCTTAAGAAGTTTCCGAGTGTACATTTGGAAATTTCCCTACGTAAAAAGGTTAAAACCAAAATAATAAATCCGCGAAAAACAGCGGGTTTTCGGACTATTTTGGACCACATGTCACTAAAATCGGGTAAGACCAATTCCTTATTACATTTTACAACCGGTAAAAACATCTGAGCAGTGCTCTCACTCTCACTCTCACAGTCACACCACCTTCCTATTCTTTCCGGACAGCAACATCAGGGGTCGGTCTATCGTGCCGTACATCGTCGTCTCGTTACTTTCATTTTCATATACGTTATACCGATTTTACCCCCGAATGTTATAGTATTCCTCAAAAAATACACTGCCACCAGTAACAGTATGGTTACCTACCTTGGAATTGGAATTTGGAAAAAAAAGCAAAACGGACCAATTTTGGGAAGATTCCTGAAGTTTTGAGAAAAAAAAGAAGGATAATTCCGTCATTTGAATTGGCATTTTCTCTTCTTCTATCTATACGGTAAAAGGTTAGAAACTCGCTTTGTCCCCACGGCTCGATTTCTCATGTTGACTTTGTTTTCTTTATTTTTTGGGAATTCATTATATTTGCATTTTGACTCTCATGCTTTAATTACAATAGTACCCTCGTTTCGTTGAGGATAAGAAGAAATTTGACCAATCAGAACACCCCGTGAATATTGTTGAATACCGGTTGAGTGAGTGAGTGGTTCCCACTTCCCATTTTTATGATACCGTCCGATTGGTTATCGGTTTTCTTCAGGTATTTTCGGTATCATATCGGACCTTTTAGTTCAGTGCAACCCTAATGGGAAACTTTTTTTTTAGTTTGCACGGAATTGGTTAACTTTAACGGTTTAACTAGTTGACGAGCACAAGCACCGAAGCACGATCTGTCAACCGTCAGACCAGAATCTAAGACCACTCGATTATTGCAGTAAGATCAGCCGGATTCCAATCAGGCGGTTGTTGTTATGCACGTCTATTTTGGTGTCACTTCTCAGGTTTGACACTGCTAATAAAAGGGTGGGGGGGTGTCTCGTGACAGTCCAATGCGTGGAGTTGCGGGGGTAATAAGGTCATTTTATGCGAGGGAGTTATCCGTACTTTCCGTAAAAACTTTTGGTAGCTTGCGGCGGAGACAGAGGATATTTCCGTAATTTTGGATACACTTTTTATTCTGTCTAATTAAACTCTCCCGTTCACAGATATTAATCCGTTGTCGATCGCCGATAATAAAAAATCTGCTTTCTGGGGTTTTTTCATAGAGAAGTGAAAGGAGTTCACGAGTTCTCACCGTCTCTGCAACTCATCTGTGTTTTCAGTTCGAGGCCTAAAAAGAAGAAAGGAAAAAGAACAGAAAAAAGAGAAATTTCAAAACGGTGAAGCTGTTGAAGGCAAGTAAGCTTCACGGGCTTGGCCTCTTCGTCCGTCTCTTTCTTCAACCGACAGGTTCTCGATCGGTCGAGTGGATCGAATGATCGATCTCGTGCCACGTCTTGGAATTCTGGTTCCGTCGTGTTTAGGGCTTCCTCGCCGTTTCTTTTAGTCCGATAATGTGAGCGTAGTCTCGTCGGAGGACAACTCAGAGTGAAGATGGATCGGTCGCAGATCACCGTCGGTCCCGGCATGGATATGCCGATAATGCACGATAGCGATCGGTACGAGCTTGTCAAAGATATTGGTTCGGGTAATTTCGGCGTTGCGAGGTTGATGAGGGATAAGCAGACCAGAGAACTTGTCGCCGTGAAGTACATCGAGCGAGGCGATAAGGTTAGTTGAATTGCTGAAAATTCCTGTTTGTTTCTTTAATTTGATTTTCTCTTTTGTTATTGACTTTATACTTTACCTTGTTTATGGATACTAGCTGGTTTTCTTCTTGATTATTGGTTGAGATAGCGAAGTCAATTATGTAGAGGGTTGTGACACCTGCCCAAAAAGGGATGAGACAAACCGAGTTTCTTCAGTTTTGAATTGTTGTCGGTTTGAAATTTAATGATGATTTCGCGATATTTATTTGTGTTTTTCCGCATATTTATTCTTTTCTTGGGGATTACTGTAGGTGTAAACAAGAAGGTTTAGCGGGGAATTTGATGTCAAATCAGTTTATGTTTGAAGTGTTTTGGCCCTTCTTTGGGACCTTAGTTTATTTGAACATATATAATAGTTTCCAAATAGAAAGCCTTAATTTGTTTTCTTTTCCCTGTGGTGTGAGTTCTTGTTAATTCCTTTTATTTGTTAACTTGTTTTCTTAAATTTCGTGCGTTGCCTTTTGGTTGCAAATGGAATAGGTGGACTTGTTTAACTTTTTACTACATTGGGATTTCTTTCCTTATTTACTTTCTATTTTTTTACCCAAATATGCAAGTAGTTAAGTGATTAGTCAGTTAGTAGGTAAAGAAAGGAATGTCTACACCGAACATTTATATGCATTGCCAACTAAGCAAACTGTCGTTGCTAGTATAGTATTGGTTTCCTGTTTCAAACCAGTTAATGTACCATGACAAAACGTAGAAGCTAACTTTGAAGTAAGTGGTTGTAAAGTTTTCTTACTCAACTTTTGGACTTACTATTGTACCATGCTATTTTAGTAGCAACATTGGGATTCTTTAATGGATTATATTTCCTGAACTTTATCTATGCATGTGTGTGTGGCTGTGGCTGTTGGGGGGGGATTGTAACTGAATAGGCCCAAAAATTATTGCATGTGAAACTATTGTGGCATTTATTGTTTTTCCATTCCTCTTTTCTATGTAACAGATAGATGAAAATGTGCAAAGAGAAATTATTAACCATAGGTCATTGAGGCATCCCAACATTGTTAGGTTCAAGGAGGTATGTGCAGTTTTGATCTTTTTAATAGTATCAATTTGGGAAGGACTGGTGGCCAAAGTGTTAATCTGCTTTTCATCTTACTTAAGGTCATCTTAACACCAACTCATTTGGCTATTGTGATGGAATATGCATCTGGTGGAGAGCTGTTTGAGCGCATTTGCAATGCTGGACGCTTCAGTGAGGATGAGGTTCTTAGTCCAATCCATCGTCAATTTTCTCCTCTATTCCTTGTTGGTTTACTTAATGATTCTATTAACCTTTTAACCTCTGCAGGCTCGCTTCTTTTTCCAGCAACTTATATCTGGAGTCAGCTATTGTCACTCAATGGTAGCTGATTAACTTAGTATATTCAATTGTTGGCCTTCCCAGGGAATGCCACAGAAACTAACTTTTGCTTCTATTTGCTGCTTTATTCATGAAGCAAGTCTGCCACCGAGACTTAAAATTAGAAAATACACTGTTAGATGGTAGCCCAGCACCTCGTTTGAAGATATGTGATTTTGGGTACTCAAAGGTATTCTTACCTTTCCTGATATTTTTCTGCTGTTAAGTTTTGGCTTTCTTCTATATGATGACATATTTTAGGAGTTCAAGGTGAGACTATTTCTGCATGCACTAGTGTGCATGTTTTCTTGAATATCATATGCATCTAACGTTGCATCTTCACTTTCTTTGAAAGGAATATCTGATATTTTGTTGTTTATCTTTATATTTGTTTGAATTTGATATTTACTCCTTTTTTGTTATTTCTTTCTCACAAAAGTAACTATGGGGTATCATCTTAATGAACAGTAGGTGTTTGTACATGAGAAAATTTACATAAATGCACAAAAGTATTTGGTGTAGATCCATGTCCACAAAAAAGGGACATAGAGGTATTGGAAACAGAAAAAACATGTCCAGCCAATCTTTTTTTTTTTGGAAAAAGGTAAAGTAGTTTTATTCAGAGAGAGCAGATTACAACAAGACTCAGGCCAACTAGATCTTCCTGGGCCTAAAACAGATTACAAGAACATCCATGATTTAGTACATGTCCAGCCAATCTTATTAAGCCATTAGCAATAGATTTCAAAGCCCTAGCAATTTATCCAATTTTAATTGGCACATTTGTGGATTTTTTTTTTCTGATCTCATTAAAGAGATAATAGACTAATAAAACATAGATTTCAAAGCACTTAGCAAGGCTAGGTGACTGGATGCGCCTTGTCACCTTGTTACTTAGGCAAATGAATTTTTTAAATAAAAACTATGAATCCTACGGTAATTCCCTAGGTTCCATGATAACTAGCAATCATCTTTCATTAATAATTGTCCATAATATTCATAAAAAAGGTATAAGCTTCATATTAAAACATAGAAAATCACATATCCATGGGGAGAAAATATAGGGGCTGATCCCTTGTTTTTGTCCTAGGAAAAGAAAAAAAAAAGAAAGGGTTGAAGGAGAAAAAGAAGAAGATGATGAAGATAAAGAATGTGTTGATTTTGTTGAGATCATGTATCATAAGCTTGGGAGTATGGTTATATCCTGTATGTATCATATGTAATGTTTTTGGTCTTTTTCTTTCTTTATTAGTTAGGAAGGGCAGATTTGTCCTTTCATCTTCTTTTATAAATCTAATATAAATACAATTCTTTCTTGGGTGTGTGAAATAGAGAACACACTTGATATTCAACCCTAAACTGCTCTCTCTTACCCATTTGACATGGTATCAGAGCAGGTCTTTCTGACATGTTTTTAATTTGGATTTGATTCCTGGGATTTAAAGGAAGATTGAAGGACTATAGATTGACTTCTCTGCATTCTTCTGTAAGCCTTCTGGATGCTGTTTTGATCAGCACAGGTTCTTGTCTTTACACCGAAATCATGGGTTACATCTGTGTTTTTCTTTTTTCTCTCAATCAGACCATTGGATCTTGCTAGGATTCTAGATTCTGTGTTGCCCTAGCCTTCTCTTTCAATCTATGAAATCAGATCTTGGATTCAATCTGTTGTTGAAAGGTTTTGATCCCTCTCTTCTTACCAATACTGCTGAAAGTTACTTTTTTTGGATTATTAGTCCTTGTTCTTGGTTGTTTGAAGTTACTCTTTTGGAAAAACTGTTTTCTTTGGTGGTTTTTACATCAACTTCTTTCTGTTTATCACTTGATGGACCTGTTCTTGGTATTTTTTATTGTAATGGCTTCAAATAGAAGAGAAACTCTTCTAGTTAAGTTTAATGGAAATAATTATGCAATGTGGAAGTTTCATTTTTAGTTTTTTGTTGAAGGACAAGGGTTGTGGGGCTATATTGATTGTTCAAAACCCAAAGCGGATGAATCAGACAGTAAAGGGATGAAACAATGGAAAATAGACAATGCTAGAATTGTCTCTTGGGTTCTTGGATCGCTTGAGACAGATATTGCCATTCCGTTGAGAGGTTTAAGGATCACCAAGGAGATGTTTGACTATATGGAGAAGGTTTATCAGCAATCTATCCTATCTAAGTAATACTAAATTGAAACTAAAATCTTCTCCTACAATCAAGGGGAGAAGAGAATACAGGAATACTATGCTGGGTTTGTAAACTTGTAGATTGAATATGAATTGGTTCATTTGGGGGAGTCCTTGGTAGCTTGCTATGTTAAAGCAATGAAAGATCACTTCAATAATAGAAAGGTTATGCACTTTCTCTTGCATTTGAAGCTTGACTTTGAGGTGATCAGGTCAAATATTTTGAGTAGGGGAACTATACCTAGTTTGGATTCTATCTTGGGAGATCTTTATATAGAAGAAAAGGATGATTACTCAGTCTACCATAGATGGGAAACATGATACTAGTGTTGAAACTGTTTTTCTTGCTAGCAAGTCCAAACCCAAAAGGGATTTGTCTTGGGTTTAGTGTTATGAGTGTAAGGAGTTTGGCCACATGGTTTTCCATTCCAAAAAGAACACATGTACCTACTTTAAACAACATGGACACATTATCACTGAGTGTCTCACTCGGCCACCTAAAGGACATACATTAGCCCTAAAGAACAATCAACACAAAGCCTATTAGTCTATGATTGATGGTGTTTTGATTGAGGAAAAGATGCGACAATTGGTATCCACTGCAATTTCTTCTGCGTTTATAGCCATTGGTCTATTTGGTAAGTCATCACCTTATTGTCCCAACCCTAGCCATCTTCGGATAATTGATTCAGGTGCCTCTAATCATTTGATGGAGGCATATTCTGGTCAGTCTCTCAAACTTTCATCTTTTGTACTAAAAACATTGTTACAACCAATGGTGAACAACATGAAATCATTGGATGTGATGATTTTTTTTTTGATCAATAACAAAAACTTTTATTAATAAAAGGATATGGAAAAGATACAACAAGAAGGGGGTAAAATCTCTTACCCCACCCAAAAAACATCACATTACAATACAGCCCAAAAGAAACTAGTTCTTCCCACCCCTTGTTTAGCTAGATAATCTGCAAAAGAATTGGCGCTCCTCTTGGACCATTGAAACTGAATTTGCATGTCTTGAGTGAGCTGGAAAATTTCTTTTTTTTTCATTCGAGAACTTCCATAAATTAGCCTCTTCCTTCTGCAGCCAGTTAATAGCCAGTTTAGAATCACCCTCCACCAACAACTTACTAATATTCAGTTGTTTGGCTCTTTTAATTCCTTCTAATATTGTTGAAATTTCAGCTCTCAGAGAATCCCCCCAGCCTATAGGCCCTGAAAACATAGCCATAATTCGATCTTCTTCATCCCTAAACATTCCTCCAATACCTGAAAGGCCTAGGTTCCTTTCGCTGCTACCATCAAAATTCAATTTAGTAAACCCCATAATTGGAGGAGACCAAGTTGGAACAGTAGCATTAAATAGCCAAGCAGACCAGGCAACTTCTTTCCAATTTCTAATGATGTCTCCTGCTGAGATACCTTTAAAAAGCTCCGTAGATTTGACCCAATGAACCACCCTAATGTAGATTAAATCAATGATGGCTTCTTTGTTCCTTTCTTTTTCCTGGAAGGTTCGTTGATTTCTTTCCTCCCACACTGACCAACATACAACTGCTCTTACACATCTTCATAAGATCTTACCTCTCTTTTTTAAACCCCTCACTGGAACAGAGTTAAACAAGTTTAGTACACTTGGGGGAGTGGGTCACCTGCAACCAAAAAGAGAGAAAAACCAACACCAGATTTCTGAAACAAAAGGACTGGAAACAAATAAGTGATAACAGCTCTCACCATTCCTCTTACATAAGATACACCAGTGTGGGGATAAACACCATCATGGCCTTTTCTTTTGAAGTAAGTCACAAGTGTTACACTTTCCTAGGATAGCTTCCCAGCATAAAGCACCTACTCTGGGAGGAATTGGTTTACCCCAAACTTTCGGAGCTGGGAAAGGAGGATCAAGGACCGAGTGGGAATGAGCTAATTCCTTGAAGAAGGAAGAGCATGAAAAAATACCCGAAGGAGTAGGAGCCCAAATCCTACTGTCCAATCTAGAGGGGTCAACAACTACCTCCAAAATCTTAATCAAATTAGAAATGGAATCCAATTCAGAGTCTCTAAGAGGCCTCCGGAAGCCCAAGTTCCAAACAGGGCCATAAGTAGAATAGGTTAGGAAAGTAGCAACCGGCTCATTTTTAAACCTTGAGAGAGAGAACAAAGAAGGAAACTGCTCTTTCTTTCATTTTTAAACTTTGCCTTCCCCGACTAATTCTCATTTTCATCTCCCTAAAACCTTGTTTGCCTCGAAACTTACTACTAATTTGATATTTGTCGGTTAGTTGGCTGATGGTAACATTGTTTCTTTTCCCTTTTATGGTTGATTAATCCAGGACCCCGACACATTGGGACAATGAAGGGGATGGGGCGTAGGCAGGGCTGGCAATTTTCTCCAGAAGGCGAGAAGACAAAGACACCATCTACCTCACCTTGTTTGCTTTCTATTGCTACTAGTTCTATTATTGCTTGCAAAAATGATGGGTGGCATCTTTGGCATAGACGTCTTGGCCACCCTTATCCTAAGAAACTTGAGTTTTTATTTCGTACTAGTTACCTATCTTCTAAAGCTACTACTTTTGTGGACGTTGATAAGTCTTGTATTACATGCTGCTTGAGTAAGAGTCATATATTGCCATTTCCTTTTGCTGCTGATCACTCTACTATTCTTTCAAGTTAATACATGGTGATGTTTGGTCGTCTCCTATAACTTCTAGATTGGGCTATAAATATTTTGTTCTTTTCATTGATGACTATACCTCACTTGGATCTATTTTTTGCGCAAGAAACCAGATGTGTTTCCCTCGTTTAATTGTTTTAGGCTTTGGCTAAAAATCAGTTTAGTGCTACCATTGGCACTTTGCATTCAAATTCAAAGGGGTTTTAAACCTATTTGAAAGAACAAGGAATTATTTCAAAAAGGTCATGCCTAGGAACTCCATAACAAAATGATGTTGCAAAGCGTACAAACAGACATATCTTGAGTGTTGTGAGAACCCTTCTTCAAGACTCTCATGTCC